AGAGAGAGAGAGAGAGAGAGAGAGAGAGAGAGAGAGAGAGAGAGAGAGACATGGGAAGGAGTATGTGGGAGGGAAGTGGAGACAGAGCATGTAGCTGCGTGAGGTGCTCGGTCCTGACGATCCACCTTCTCACTCTCTTCTTCTTTTTCTGGGGTTCTCGTCAGGGTTGTTAATTGATAGACCCCGACTCTGTTATTTGCACTTATCGCGGGGGATTCCTTGGCACCATCTTTCAAATTGTTACCGAGGGTCACCAGGTCTGAGGTATCGACTTGTTCACGATTGTTGCGAATCATTTGGAGCTTGAACCAGAAGCCGTTCTCTCCGTGGACGGCGGGAAATCCTGTTTATTAGTGGCTGCGGAGGCATGCGCTGAGAGTCCAGACGCGCGTGTCCACATTCACTCACACATTCACGTACGCGCACACACGCATGCAAGCACTCACACACACACGGAAGCACACGCACACACGCACACATACGCGCTCACCCACCCACCCACCTACCACCATCCCCTTCCCAACACACACACACTCATACACCCGTGTGTCTCTGTGTACCTTCGTGAAGCGAGTTGACTGTCTCGTCGATTTGCCAAAGCACCCCTGGACTGCGCTGCAGAAGAACAGTGGTCGATACATGGAGGAGAAGGTTCAAGAAGGTGCGTTGGCAACATGAAAACGGGAGCAGGATAGCGGCAATGGAAGGGATGTGAAGAGGCAAGTCAATCAAGGGATTGATCAGCTGGTTGGGGTTTGGATATTACTATTTGATGTTTGTTTTATCTCGGCTTCGTTTGGTTGTCTGGGTCGGAGCATCATTTCCCGGAGATGCCTACGGAGGAGCTTGAGAAATCGATGAATAATGACCCCATGGCTGATTGATTGCCAGGTTCGTGTTGATTGGCCATTCGGACCTCGTTTTTCTCTTTTTCTCTTTTCGTAGTGGTATCAATCTTGCGCTATTCGGGGGAGGATTGGGGTTTTGGGTAAGTCTACAAGTCGGCGAAACCCACAGCCGGTTCACTGCGTTAGTTAAAAGTGGCAACAAGTCGTGAACACCTGGGGCGAAACCCAGTCCGGGTAGGGGAGGTAATACCTGAAATTCGTGTACTCCTCACTACATCAGGCGCCCGGCCTGTTGATTACTGGGTTGCGCTGTTTCCAGGACTCCGCAGTTTATACAAGGGAAGACGAACAACTGAGCGGCGGAAATTATTTTCTCTCTTTTCTTCCTGTGTTGGTCGCTGAGAGAATATCGACGCCTACCTGTCCGTCACACAGCATGATAATTTTTCTAGTAGAGTTTTGTAAACTCTACTAGAAAAATTATCATACTGTGTGACGCGTGGGCCGCATGTCTTCCCGAAGCCTCTTTCCAACGGTGGCTTGCCCATGCCCCGACAGTGCGTTCGTATGTACCTACCAAGGCAAGGGAAGCCACCGTTTGATCGAGACCTTCTTCCGATGCACGGATGGAGGAAGGGCTGCTTGTATGAGGGCTAGCTTTCCCCCTTTGCTTTTTTTTAATCGATGCTTCCGTCTTAAGAGTCTCCGATGCCATGGTGTCGGCACTTGGCGATCGGGAACCGTCTGGCGGCTCACACCCTTCGCTTCGGGCACTTGATAACCCGTCATAGCATATGAGTTTCGAAGAGTTGCTTTGTCTTAGCAACACCTTTGAGTCGGTTCCCGTTCCCCTTGTAGGCGCACGAAGATTCCAGGTGTTCAGGTGTTAAGGTCGCGGATAAAGTCCCGAAGAATAATGATAATGACGATGATGATGATGATGATGATGATGATGATAAGGATGATGATAAGGATGATCAGCAAGAACGATGACAGCAGCAACGATAAGGATGATGACAGCAGTAATGACAGCAACAACCACAAGGAAGGTCATCATGATTTAGAACAGGAAGCGAGGAGCGATTCAGAAATAGCAATGGAGAAGAGGAACAGCCACCGCAGAGCGACGACCGTAGTTACCAAAATAAATAAATAACGACCTTGAGAAAGAGATTAGGAAGAACTGCATAAATACTCCTTTGACCCAGCTAGTTCGCCGATATCAGAAAATGGATTCGCGAAAATGCTGTACCAATATCGCGCGACACTGCCGCATTTGCGCGCTGCTCGTCTGAATTTGGCTCAAGCAAGAACGCTTTCTCAAATTGGCGGTGAAGATTTTTCGAAGGGCGGGGTAGGCGGGGTAGCGCCCTATCGACTTTGCAGACTGTGGAGTCTACTTCGCGCGAGCTCACGGACTTTTTCGCAGTAACCCCGACCTGTGAGCGGCCGACGCCTGTCTTGATCGCTTGTATTACGACTTGCCGTAGCACCGCGCAGCAACCGAGTTCACTTGCTGCACATGTGAGCCATCGCGTCTTCACCGGCTGAGCTTTCGCGATAGCGCAATTGCCTGCTGACCTTCTGCCATAGTGGAATCGCCTGCCTGCTGGAGTACTTTGCGAGCCGTCGCCCACAGGCTTCTGCTTGTGTAGCCTTATCTCCTACTGCACGAAACACTCCTTGAGCACCGGAGTACAGGGAGCAGTACTGTGTGCTACTTTTTCTTGCCTTTTTTCACGTAGTGCGCGACGTAGGGAAATTGTTCCGGCAGTTAGTGAAGTGAGCGCTGTACAGGGAATTTAACCACTTTATTCGTGATAGCGGATTTTCCTTCGCTGAAATTGAGGTAAGTAAAGTGAACTCGGGGAGGTACAGCGCGCCGAAGGTTGGTGTTGCTCGAAATTGATAATTCATGCAGTGAACTGATAAGTCATGTTCGTGAAAAGGTTTTCGTAATTTTCTGGGTCGAAGGAGTAAATCCTTGTGAGCCGATATCCCAAATTTTCTGAGGATGTGCGATGAACACCCAGCTCTGCAATCATGACCCTTCCACATCGGCATCCGGAAGTTAACGGGTAGAAACTAAGGGCGAGAGTCCAGAACGAACGAGAGCAGGTCAGAGCTAACAGCTTGGCAGAGAAGAAAGAGTCGGTTTCTCCCGCATATAAGAAAAGGGGAGGTGTAGAGGCACGCGGGTGCACAACGGAGCGAATCCCGGCAGGGTCGGCTGAAGCGCGGCTGAGCCTCGGCGCGACGAACGTAGCAATGAAATAGTGCATAATGTGATAAGAGTGAACCGTAAGCAATAATAGGAAAAGGGCGGAAAATCGTCGGTCCGTCGCTCGGTGCTCTTGGATCGTAGTCGGCCTCCTCTCCGCTTGAGCAGGGGGTGGCCACGGCTCCACTAAGCCCGAGGCTGTGCTGACAGCAGGCGAAGAGCGTGTGCGGGCATAGTGAGCATCGGTTACGGGCACGCTCAGCGCGTTGACGCATGATGTGAGCAATCCATCGCCTGTGGCTTTGTGTAACATCACTCCGTCGTTCCTTTATGAATGATGCCATTGTGACTCTTGTTTTTCGCCTACTAAGTGTCTATCCGGCGTTGCATTCCGGATGGCGGCCGCCCCCATCCGGTGGGCGATTGGAGAGGGGATGACAGACTCGGTTCCTATCGGGACAAAGAAAGGGGAGGCACTTGCTACGCCTGAAGCGTATGTCGAGATTGAATCCGCCAATAGGACCTAGACGGCATGTCTGCCTACCGGTAGCACCGCCTGAACGCGAGTCTTGAGCGCGAATCCGCCAATAAAATAGGCGGGAGAGCCCATCTACAGCCCCCCAGAGACGAGTGCGACTTCGAGAAGAGGGAAAGCACCTAGACGGCATGTCTGCCTACCGGTAGCACCGCCTGAACACGACTCCTGAGCGCGGATATTTTGCAGCCTGGTCTTCTTGAAGTCGCACTTTTTGTTCACGTAACTCTCTTTGGCGATCTTGCTGAAAGCACGTCGACGACATGCAGGTAGGCAGCAAGGGGGACGCGCAGGGTGAATGTTTGAAGCTAAAGCGAGAAAATTTCAGGAGAAGTGGGAAATAAACGAAAATCTTGAACTGCATCAGAAGAGAAAAGAAGGAACTCGGCGGGAGGGAGTCTGGAGGGGCTTCGCGCCGACACACTCACAAGATGAAGAGGGCAATAAACCAGCTCGTAGGACTTCTGAAGCAGAGAACAAACTGCACCTCTCCTCAAACTCTCGCTCTAACTTTTTTCCATCATTTCTGACGAACATACATGATGAACGAGTTTTGCGCTGCTACCACTTGGCAAGTCTCACGAGCGCTCAAATGCAATCGCCTAAGACGCGTAGGCAGGATGTCTAATGATTTGTGTGTGTGTGTGTGCGTGTGTGCGTGTGTGTGTGTGTGTGTGTGTGTGTGTGTGTGTGTGTGTTTAGTCAGTTTAGATATTTACGACCAGTACTCCCTCTCTCCCCATTCGCCCACTAGCTGGTTCACACCGTGCCCGCACATGACAGCTCCGTCACTGACAACTCCGACGTCGTCCCGGCTCCCTGATGTTTCCAAGCTTCAGCTCATGCTGTCTCTCAGCGTCGCCACCCTCTTGTGACACTGCTTTGCGACGTGCCTTGGTCTTCTTGGGCGACGTTATTTCCCTGCTCTCGGAGTACACTACGAGGCTAACTGGGTATGCACGGTCCTTAACGGCCGCTGTGCTTGCGCTCATAGAGTGACACAGAACGCAGGAGAACAAGGATTTTGAAACGCGGAAGAAGGGGGGCGGGGAGAGAGAGAGAGAGAGAGAGG